TCACCATTATATCGGTTCCCAAAATCACGTCCTCGTCTATGTCGGCAACAAGTGCGCAGTGTTGAAACACGCAGCCGCCGATGTGGAAGGTAGCAACCGTCTGCCCATAGACCTGAGCCAGCTGACCTGTAGCTGTACGTAGGGACCATGATGTTGGTGAAATATCTTCATTCGACACAGTGTTTGGATTCAGGATGGTCATAGTCGCCCCGGTGTCCAGAAGACAGCTTTGGAGACGCCCGTTCACCTTTCCGTCTATGTAGAAACTGCTTGACTGACTTCCAAGTGAAGCAACTTTAACACTTTTCCTCGGGGCTTTCAAATCGCGGGCTGACGGTTGCCCCTTTCCATCAACCCTCCTTAGTTTTCCTGTTCCGGTTCTGATGTGGTCGAAGGACATTTACTCCGGGGATGCCCCATCTGTCCACAGCTCCAACAGCGTACCTGCCGGCGACGTGTTTTTAGCGCCTCCAGAACTCGTTTCACCAGCTCCTCGATGTCGAGTGGAGATGTAGGTTCTGCGTCTGCCACACGGACTCGGGCCTGACCTCTCACCGACTGCCGTACAGCCTCGAACTCCAGTGCCTGTGTCAGTGCGTCACTCAGGGTCTTAGGTCTGGCGAGCTTCACTGCCTGTTGAGTCTCGGGTTCACGTAGACCGTCGAGGAATTTATCCACCGCCAAACTCTCGTAGACATCATCCGTGACCGATGGATAGGCGTTTCTCACCAGGCGAGCAATGTCGGCTTCAAACTCCTGAAGTGACTCGCTGGGTTTCTGGATCCGGTTCCGCAGTTGAGATCGGTAAAGCTGGTCCATGTGTCGATGCCCGAAGCGCATGTCCAATCTTCTTACTAGTTCAGCGAAATTCTTCCGCTCCGCCATTGGCATAGCATGCAGAACAGCTAATGCATCGCCTCGTAGTGCAAGGCACAGTGCTGAAGCCTTTGTCTCATCGGTCCACCCATGGACCATAGCCGCTGTCTCGAAGAGAAGCATGTAGTCCTCCCAGGGGGTTTTGCCATCGAAATGAGGAACGATGTTCTGAGGGGCAACGGCAGCAATGGTGGGCGCTGGCTTGGAGATCGTTTCTAGGGCGTTGTCCTGCTGAAGTTCGCCAGTGCTAGCCGATGACGCAGGTGTGAAGCTCCCCGATGCAGCAATTTCCTGCCTAAGCTTAACTAACCTATCTTCTAGATTTTTTTCTATACAATTAAATTTCTCATCTATTTCATTCATCCTACTTTCTAAATCATCAACTTTGCTAGAATACTCATCTAACTTGTTTAGCATTTTTGATTCTACATTTGACATTTTTGACTCTAATGTTTTGCTATTTTCTAACATTTTTGCCTCAATATTAGCTTCTAGGTTTTCTAAAGTTTTATTAGTTTCTGACATTTTTGACTCTAATGTTTTGCTGTTTTCTGACATTTTTGCCTCAATATTAGCTTCTAGGTTTTCTAATGTTTTACTATTTTCTGACATTTTTGACTCTAAGTTCTTAAGCATTTTATTCATATCAGATGTTTCAAATAAAAAGTTATCTGGGTCTTCACCTGCATCAAATAAAGCTTGTTTAAGGCGTGCCTGAAGGGCTGATTTAGTTCCACTAGTATCAAGATCTCGTTCTTCTAATTCTCTCCTAAGATCAGCTACTTTTAACTCATCAAGTTTCACACCTTTGAAAGCCATTTTTATGCCAAACAATTAAAATAATTTTACAATAAATGATTTTTTCCTTTGTAAACAAATTTACGACACAAATTGCTAATATATAACCAAGACCCTGATTTTTACTAATATCTAATCCAACTAAAATTAAACTCAATATTTTACTTTTAAAATCGCCAAAATAATGCCGCTTTCTGACACCAATTGTTGCGGGCTTAACGGGTTCTCTACAATAAAAACTTGGCGATTTTATAATAACTATTTATTTACACTAAATATTATCTATTTACAAATTTTACAATTGCCTAACACCTAACTAACCCTATCTAAACCTAGCTAAAGCCTATTCTAATTTACAATGTTTCTACTTACAGCTAGCCTTTACAGGAATTATCACTACTTCTGTCACAACACTGTCACTACACTGTCACTAGTGTCACTACACTGTCCTACACCGTTACTACACTGTCACTCTCACTAGCACTAGCACTGGTCACTAACACCGACACGCGCTTGCTGCGACGATTCTCGGAAGGCTCAACACAACTCAACTGCCGTGTGCTGGAGGACGGTCCCTTATATAAGTTTTTCGTGGAACATTCTAGAGTGGAGAGTTCGAGTATCCGTTGTTTACAAACCGGCGTAGAACTGTAGAAGGTTCTGGAGGGCCTATTCACGTAGTCCGTTGACATAGGTCTATTGTCTATCACTGGTACGTTCGGAGAAATCCCGTTTCGACAAACAACCCTTTTGAGACGGCGCCTGGCTATTGTTGTGCGGGGCTCCTGACTTGTAACAGAATCCTACCTGGCCGGCAAAACCATTAATCGATAAATGCAACTGTTCAAAGTCTGAATTTTCACCTCCCCTGGCAATATCTGCAGGGGTTCCCCAGGGCTCGGTGTTTGGTGTTTGTTGCAGTCTTAGTAATCCTTTTTAATCAATAAATTGCCAATTTGTGTTTCTGAGTCTGGGGGTGGGGTATGCCTGTTCAATAATAATACCTGATTGTCGTTGTCTGCAGCAGGCGTGTGGGCCCTCAGAGAACAAGTGGTGGGTCAGGTCAGCTCAATACTAAATTAGTTTTTCAACAGTACCAAAACTCAAACTATGGAATTTCATAACAGAAACAAAGAAAACATAGCACTCCTGGCAATTTCCATTGACAAAATAATTTAATTCCGTCTGTTTAGAAACTCAGAATTTCCTGGGCGTCCATATCGACAGCCAGTTGAAATACATACTTCATATAGATTCTATTCGTAAAATATTGAGTTCTAATATATTCTTATTGATAAATTTTGCAATATTTTGGACACAAAAATACTAGTGGTGGCTTAATACGAATAGTTGTTTTCCTTTTCTATCATACGTAGTTGGAATTTGGAGACATGAGTGTCTAAATTCCAAAAGAGTCTTTAAATTGCAAAAGAAAGCCATTAGAACAATTTATAAGATGCATAGTATATTTTCCTGGATAACACTTTTTGTTAACATTTGTATCTTAAGCTGTTTCTTATTCGTCAAGAAAAATTACCTATTCCAAAATCCGCCTCACTCTATCTCCTATGGTTTGAGAAGCCGGACCAAAATACACGTCCCAAAACAGAAAACTGTTTTGTTTAACCATTTATTGTACAATGGCACAATTGTTTAATGCACTGCTCGCTCCCTACAAAAGTGGCATTTTTAGGCGAGCGCTCAAGTTTATTTGTGAGGCTAAGCCGAATACAAGCAAGAATACAAGAACACAAAATTTCAAGTGTGAGGTGAAGTCAGTAAAAATGGGTGAGCTATTTTCACCAATGGGCAATCCGAGGACGGTTATAATTAGAGCAAGTGTCCGAAAAATACATGTAGGTACAATATATTAACGAACTATCTCAGACGACGCAAAAAAGAACTTATAAACGGATAAGAAATATAGCAAAAAAACTAGCTTAAGATAAATGCAAGTGAAATATTATCTAGTGTAGTTTTTCAGATGTTAAGAATGTGAAATAAAATAAAAAATTCAAAGCCGAAGATTTTTCTATTAATACAATAAACATCTTGCCGATTATAAGTTTTAAGTCAGTCTAAAGGTTAATTTAAACAGATCAGAAACAACTTTTTAATATAAAAACTTACATACGTTAATATTTTATGGAATAGAAACGTACGTACCGACAAAGTACATATTCTAGCGAAAACAAGTCATAATTTCAGCCAACTGTTCAATTCGTAGTACGTTAAATTGGTGTATAAATTACTCATCGACTCAATAACGTTGGAATGAAATTATTTTTTGCCAAATAATGGAGGCTAATGTACGAATCTCTAAAGTATAATATTCATTTAAATAAATACCCATAGTGTTTTTTTTTTATATATACCTATACTAAGAATGTATAGGTAAAACTAAGTATTCATAATAATGCACTTTACTTTGAGGTTTTGTGTTTTCCCAATTCAATGCAACCATAACAAATATAGTTGCTTTTGTAGGGTTGAAAAAGGTTATGCTATGAAAGAAAAAATACTAAGATACAACTGCTAATTAAACCCAAGGGCCTAAAGGATTGTTTTTATAACCCAAAAATGTATCGTTGGTTTCCTATTTACATTCCAAAACAGCTGAAGTGATAAAAAATGAAGAAATTTACTATAGGTAAAGCTCTTAGAGCATTTGTTATAAGTTAAAAATACATGTTGAATATGAGTTAAGACGAGCTTTAGCATGAACTTGATAAGTATGGACTGAAATCATTGATAGCTAAGGTGGAAAATTACTACTAAAATGCCTAGTTCTGAATCTGTAAGAGCATTTCATGACCAAAGTGAAATTAATTTTCGTAAATTATTTTTTTTGCAAGTTTTTAACGTTTGATTGCTCATTTCAATTCACTGTAAAACATCTATATAAATAAATTTCAAATAATTTCCATCATATACACAACCATTATGTCATATATTACAAGTGAATGTTCGGAATTTTTCTTTCAACCTAAAGTTAATAGTAAAAATATACTTCAATCGTGTAACTGTGCATAAACTATTTACAATTAACTTCAATGTAGTAGGTTTGCATGGTTTCAGGTTTTATTGTGATGATAAGAATAGTTTAGGACTGTGTTCAAAATATCAACTTTTTCTTAATGTATACAAGTTATAAATTAACATTTTGTGGTTATAGTTCGTAGTTTAGGTCGTTGGTATTTCAAAATTGATAACATCTGTTAGTGAATCGATAGACTCATGACTATTATCATATAATAAATTGCAGATGATTAGGGTTATTAAATTTAGACCTTGAACTATTAATTCCAACTGGTATAAATTCGCCCGCAATTCATTCCAGTTTCACTGACTTCAACATGAAGACCTTTCATCATGTGTTCGTGATGTGCGTGGTGGTAAGTTTTGATAATACCTTAGCTAAAGCTTTATATCACTTCTATGTGGCTAATTTTAGTAATCATACAGGGCGGATCGAAGTTAGTGTAAAATATTGTTATGTGCTAAACTACTAAGTATTAGAATGAGTGTGTTTTATCTATAGTGCAGTATTAGTGATAAAATTGCATCAATTTAAGTTTCCATGCCCTCACAGGTGGGCTGTAACAGACAAAATTAGACTTTTAGCGAATTTCCCATATAGGGAATAAGCTATTACCGTAGTACTCATGGTAAGACCTGGACGCGGGACCGATTTTTTTTTTCGTTTTGAGGTCCCTAGAGGCCAAAAACACCATCCGTTCAAATTCATATATATATATATATTTATATATTTATATATATATATATATATGTGTCCGTCAGCATGATAACTCGAGCAAAAATGATCCGATTTTGATGAAATTTGGTACAAACGTGTAAACGTACGGTTATTCGAACGAGTTCGCGATCCAGCATGATCGGACCATGGGAACGGGGGTTTACGGGGGGTTTTATGGGGTAAAAATAGGTTTTTCCCATTTTTGACCCAAAAAACATAAAATTTAGCAATTTCTTTCCAAACCATTTTGTAGAGCTTAAAAAAAAACAAATAATTTAGTATATTGAAGCGTTATTATGCGCCTAATGGTTACGGAGAAAATTCCAAAAATTGTAAATTTAAAATTCCCATGTTATTCTTATGGAGAATAAGTAAACTGTTGTAGTTTGCTTGTTTGTGAACATATTTTGATCAAATTTGGAAAATGTTTTTATTTCTTACTAACTATTCACATTTTACAAAAAAAAACAGTTTTACCCTCCCTGATGCAGCAAACCTAAGTACTTGTTAAACTAATTCTATTTAAATCAAGAATAAATGTTATATTTTTAAGTAGACATTTCAGTGTAAATCCAATCAGTCAAATGGAAATTCGCTTAGTCTGCAGGTTTGCTGCGGCGGGGGTATTTCTTTCTAAAAAAGTATTTGTATTTGTTTAGATAAAATGCCCATTATTGCACTAAAGATTGATTTTATTTCGACAAAATTGTCATTTTTAGAATCCTCATTAAATTTTTAATAATAATAGCACAAAGTCATCGAGATTAAACATCTGATAAGCCCTTATTCTGCAATGAAAGTTAAATACATATGTTGAGTTTTTTTATTATGTTTAGACGTGATTTTTTTAAACACGTCATTAATTTTCACGTAGGTTTTCTATGCTACTCTGAACTATAGAGAGTGTCAAATAGTACTAAAACTTCCCCAATTAATAATTTTTTTAAATAATGTATAAAAACCTACTGCTTCTTTCTTATTTCGTTCTTATATCTAAGACTATCTTTTGAAAACCACAGAACAGCTAACGATGCATTTTCTTTAAAATAAAATGTATTTGATGAAACTATATGGCAATATATTCATTAAAAATTGTGTTTAAATAAGGTTTATTGTAATGTTTGGAATCCTTGTAAAATTCCTCCCTAGAATATTAAGAAAATATCAAGATCTTTATCTATATAAACTTATGTTCTTAATAAAAACTTTAAATTATTGTTTTTAATTTTATTTTTAGAAGAAGATAAATATAGTTTATGGTGTTGGTGCATTTAAACGATGTGCAAATGATTAACTCATTAGATAGGCCTACCGATGTTAGATAACACAACTTATACACAACTTGGATATGTCCATACCTTAAAAAAGGTCACCTTTATGGTGAATTTTGTTAAAACCTTACGTCCACTGAACCTTTTTGTGTGGCTTCATATAACTTGGGTTTATCATTCCCAAGGAATAATGAACAGAAAATTCACAACCAGATAATTAGATTAGGCAGACAGACGTTTATAAAGCTACTGTTGGTGCCACTCACAAAAAAACTTGGCTGTGTATTAAGGAAAATCGTGGAGTTTTTAAAAATAAACTCAAGGAAGTTTTGTGTTGTTCTATTTTACAATCTATAGTTCAGAGTAGCATAGAAATGCATGCGTGAAAGTTAATGATGTTTTTTTTCACGAATTCAAACTTCCATTGCAGGATAAGGGCTTATACAGATGCTTAATCCCAATGTATTTGTAATATTATTATTGGAAGTTTAATTAGGATTCTGAAATAGAGAATGGCGTCGAAATAAAAACAAACTTTATTGCACTAACGGGAATTTTATCTAAGCACATAAAAATATTTTGAAATAATACAATTTTGTCCGTTACTGCCTACCTGTGAGAGCATGGAAGGCTATTAGAGTAAATTGGTGCTATTTGTCACTAATACTTAGTAGTTTAACAAATAACAATGTTTCACTAACTTCTATCCACCCTGTATGCATTTGGAAGTCGTATGTTACAAAGATTATTAACGAAAAACAATACTACCATTTGAAATCTTTGATTATGAATATAAAAAAAAATAAAACAAAATCAGCCCATTTGACAAGTTTGGGACAACTAACTGTACTATTTTTCAATTTAGAGCTTCTAGACCTGCTGTAAAAATATTAGTTATTGGGGGAGCACTAAGACCCTTATAGGTTTAGGTAAGGTGTCTCAAATCGATTTCAAGCCGTTGGTCCTACAATGATGAAATACAACTATTTCCCACTAAATCTACCCCAAAAAATTACGTAAAAATAAATATGTTTAATGTTTTTTTTCTTATACAGCAAAATCGTATATTACGTTACTAGTCCTGAAAATATGTGTTTACCGGGCGAGTGTGGTCGTTCCAATGCGAGACGAAGTCGAATGCGGGATTACTATACGAGTCCGGTAAACACATTTAGGACGAGCGACGTACGATATTTTACGCCATAATAGGCCTACTCTAAGCTAACCGAAAGAAAATCTGTACAAATCCTTATGAATTCCCACCGATTAAAGGACTAACAATCACTACTCATAACTAGAGGTTATGGTTTTGTTTATAACTACTCATTGCCAAATATACTACAGTCAGCAGGTTGGTGTCCAGTAAAAACTCATTACAGTACAGTACTAAGTAATGAAACCCCATTTGATTAAGCTGGCGGCAAACAGCTGTTTTCTGGGCTGAGTGCTTACGTGGGAAGTTAATTAAAACAGTGTAGTAAATAGTTTTATATCATCATTGTAGAACCAACGGTTTGTCTGAAATCTATTTAAAACACCTTAAGTGAACCCCCCTGTTTATTCCGCACGGTATCAGTCCTAAGAAACTAATACGGATACAAGAGTATCAATTAATAGTCAAAGCTAATACGCAAAACCTCATATTTCCTTTCATTGCCAAATACCTTAGTTAATCATGGTAAAATTTAGGCAGTAAACTGATTACAATAAAGTGCTAACATTTTAAAGAAAAAAATTACAATCTTTAATATTAGTATATTAGTTTTCACATGTCAGTTTAATTTTACGGTGGCCACTCAAGTATGCGACTGTTTCAGGTATTTCTAGCATGGGAGGCAGCTGCAGTGGTAAGGCGTTGGTTTGATAGTTTTAGCATAGATTTTTTAATCCACTTTATAATATTGTATAAATATATCATCTTGTTATAAACCACGCTTACAGTTTAAGGATATAATATATTATACCGTGTGTTTAAATTAATTTTTGTAAGCAAAGTACCTTTCCCTGTTGTAATATATTATGATAAATGCATCAAGGCAGCGGCAAAAGAATAATTTAGCTGGTGGGTGCATGGTATTGGAAGACTACGTCACGTCCCTACTACCGACGTTCATACTCAGTCCCTCGTCAAATGAAATATTCAACAAGTTAGTTCGGTTGATGTAAAAGTGCTGTGTTGTTATCATTCAGGTTATGGTATTAGTTCTTAATATTGGTTAAATAAATTTGGCACAGTTGGTATGTAAAGATGACAAACGGGTCGGTGGAGCTAATGAGTGATTTTAATCCTAGGAGATTTATTTTTATCAATCAGCATAGTGGAAAAGGGTTTAAACTATAATCTGCCAAGAAGGAAGTATAAAAGTTCTTTACACTTAATTGATGAATTCCGAATGTGCAACAATTAAAGCTATACCAGATGAAGATGATAATTATTTCTCACGTCATAAAAAGTATAACAAATTGAAGAAACCCCTGAACAATGATTTATTAGCCAATAGCACTGAACTTCTTTAGCTTACCACACTCTGTAAGGGTCTATTTTTTTTTAGTGGGGTAAATTTTCGTCGTTCGTTGCGGCCAGGTGCCGATTGTTGGGGTAGGCAAGCGGTGGCACAAAGCGAGCTAGTGACCTTTGACCCGGTTAATCAGTTCTGCGGTGTCGTGGTGCAACCAATTGTGCAGTGAATGTTGGAGTTTACGTTGGGTAGAGAAGGTTTGCATCTGTTGGACTACAGCAGGAATTAGTGAGTGTCACCGTCCCTAATATCACAAGCGCCGAGTTTGAAGAGATCCTGAAAATAAGGGTGTATATCTACATCGTCTACACCTGCCTCGAGTGGAGCTGTGAAAATATACGTAAAAGAGTTGAAAAGGATCCCAAGTATCAAGTCCTTTCTGGTGGTAGGATCTATGGCTGTGTTACTGCAGCACAAACATAATAATTTAATGTACATATATAAGAATACACCATGAACAGTAACTGGAGTCTCGTCAGCCGAGCTCTTCCTTCAGTTTAAGCACAAAACCAACTTGTCTTAGTTGAAAGCCATCTTAATGTCACGTATTTAAAAGAGAAAAGAAACTTAGAATAATTCTACGCCATTGCAAAAGGCATTGCGGTAGTTTTGGGTCATTTGTGAAAGTTAAAAAATTACCGTTCAAAACGGATCGACTAGAACAAGAATGATGGGTCCCAGATAGTTATTTTAGAAACGTTGAGCGGTCACATTAAATGTAAATAAATGTTAGTCAGTGTTTAAAAAAACCTAGGTTTTGTCACGTGGATCACCTCTGACGCAGCCAGTTAAATGATGTAAGAATCCATAATTAATAGGCCTAGGCAACCATCTCCAGTAAAAACCATGACAGTCAAGTCACCAATTATATCTTCGCCTCAACCGGCTACAAAACCTATAGAACCAACTCCGAGGAGGTCCACGAAAAAATTGTCATTGTCGATTTCTAGCCAGTCAAAGCTGATCACCAGCGTTCAGTGAAGCCTATCACTACAACTTCGTATATCCCACAGAACATAAGTAACAGAAACACAGAAGCCGAAGAAACTTGACTTGTAATAAAATTAGTCCTACACAAATAACATGTTAAGTTCATTTGTTAAGAGTTTTACCTGTTGGTCTAGTAACGATAATTAAAACTGAATTTGATTAATTACAGAGTAAAGGTTTTTAAAAGCTATTTAATTTTAATTAAATGGTTTGGATTGACCTTGTTTCTAGAGCCAAGCTTAGAGGATAAAATTGTTTTTTATTTGCTGTAAATGTTTATTATAAATACATCAAGGAATCAGCAAGAGAGTTGTTTAGTTAGTTTCTTTCATATTTTTACATCCATTATTTCTAGTTTGGACTTTGCTACTTTGTCTGCCAACGTACGATATTTTAGACTGGTGAAAGATATTAAATTAAATAATGGTTATGTGTTTTATTGCTTACAGGAGGAAACTGTTACATTCGATCGAGATGTAAGTTGTTATAACCAGTATGATTAACAAAAAAATCATATTATTAAAATAGCGTTAATATGGTGCGCCCTAGAATGGAACTGCGACAAATATTTAAACATTAAAATTAGTCCTAAGGGCTTTGGAATCTATTATATCTCATTACTCCAACAGAAAATGTTTTATGATCACACAAAAAATCAATGATACATATCAAACTTCTTCAAAATGTAATATTAATATGTTGTTTTACGTTACGAAATTAATTCTGTAATTATACACTCCTCATGGTAAAAATGTTGTAAAAATGTTTACCTTTGAGATAAAGATTTGAAGCTAGGCACCACAGCATTAAATACAACATTAAACAATTAATTGTAATCTACAATCTTTTAAAGATGGACATAATATTAGTGTCTATGATAATAATTCATTTAAATAGTATATAATCCAACTAAAATTTAAATGTGTTTAAATAAAACATATGGATATTATATTTTGTGTTATAATTTCATTGTTAATTGTGTTTTAAAATTATCTTACAACTTTTTCAGGTAACAGTGTTGGGCTCAAACAACCAGATCCAGAAGCTGCATTCTTGGACGGTAAGTCAAATATTTAGGATTTTTCATCTTCATTCATACTCCAACTTGATTTATGGTCCTACTTTCTACTGCGCTAAATTAATAAACTGCATGCCTAAACTCTGCACATAATGTTTACATCATATGTGTAAAACGTAATGCATCACATACGAAACAATATATATATATCCATAAAATATCTGTTATCATTTTGTTAATAAAAAAATCTAATATACAGCCGCATGTGTCTTACACATCAATGTATGTTTGTCATTATTTTGCCTGTCGTATTTTTTGTCCTTTATACGTTACTAAACTGGCCATCCGATTGTAATGAAACTATCGGAAGTTATTCTATACACGCCGAAAAATGCTTCTGTCCACTTTCTCCTTTGGAGTTCCACCCCAGTGGCTCTAGAGTTCCCCATTTTTACCTTATGGGTATTTATATTTAAGAAGAAAAAAATATTATTATTTACAGCTGTTTAAAACTAACCAACAAGTTGGGTTCTATGATCTTCAATGAAATAACAATTTAGGCCTGCTTCCTAGGTTTGCCAACAGATTTCAGCACTACTATTTCGTTTTGTTTTCCCCGTTGCAAAGTACGGGTACAGCAGTAAGACCCAATAAAACCCTTAACTTCATAAAACATTGCATATTTCCTATTCTAAACCTTTACTTTTAGTTCCGGCTGTTACCACTACCCAACTTATAGTAAAATGGTGATAGTTGTCGTTAAAAAGTAATAAAGGGCGAAATTAAAGCAAACACGCGTACTCGCCCGATTCCCAACAAATTTTGATCAAGAACGTTATATGATCATGGCAGCTTATCCAGAGAACATGTCACAAAATTAAGGATTTAATGTTATGTTACTTAATCCTACTTTATATAGCCTATCTAACAAAGTTCAATAACGTTAAGAGACAACTAAACTGTACTATTGGCAAATTTGGGTTAATAACAGTGAAATGAGATAGAAGGGGAATAGTAACTTGGTAAACAACATTACGATTGTGTTCCAGAGAGAGTTATTCGAAGCTTCTGGTAGAAAGTCAGTTATTTTTCAAAAGAAGGAGTTTTCCCATAGTTTGACTTCAGTAGTCGCATATTTAAAATTAGCTTCGGTGATGAGGCTATATAAGAATGGATTCGATTTAATCCTTAATAACTGTTGCTATGCAAAAATATTTTGTAAAAGGGCATGTTGGTCGATAGTGAAGCCACAGCTTCAGCTGGTTCATATTAAAAGTCAAAAATATGTCGGGCGAAGCCGACGGGCAACAGCTAGTATATATTACTTGAAATACTATTGTATTAATATCATAATAAGCAAAATCAAATCAAATCAAATCAAATCAAAATACGTTTATTCCAAAAATTAAACAGTACAATAATAGAACAATACATTACATTGAATTATTCCCCCGGATAGACTGTTAATCTGTAATCGGGGGAAGAGTTCTTGTAAACCATTGTTAGGCAATATACGTAGTATTTAAAATTTGTTTGATACTATTACCTATATCTACTAGAAATTAAAAAAGACAAAGACCTTTATAAATTATATATTTGAAAGGAAACCCCTAATTTGATTTAAACAAATACGAAAGTCTACAGTAATACATTCAAAAAAATAATAAAATGGATCCTACTAAACTAGAAGTTACTGAAAACGGTAACAAAAACATGGTTGAATTCTGCATCAGCCGTGGCGAAAACATCTTTTTCAGCTAATGGAAAATAATTATACTGTGTAAACGGACTGTATCAGCGCCTCTGCAGCCGCCCACCCGATACGCGCGAGCCACTCGCCAATCCTGCGTTTGTAAACAGCAACACTGCTACCCTCCGCATCGATAATCTCTGATATAAACGGATACGGTATAAAACATGTGCTAGATAGAAAGCGTTTTTGTTGGTGAAATTGAGGAATGATCTAGGTAAACAAAAGCCCAACGTTATCCGGTTTTTAGTGGGATAACAATGTGATATGCCTGTAAATATTTGTTGCTTGTTTGACTTAATAAACAGTAAAAGTGATTTAATGAATAGTTGCCTAATATTCAATACTGGAAGTTCAATAAAGAGTTGATCTGTTGGATATCAGAGTGGTTTTTTTTATTAATTATAAAAATTATTTTTTTTTATTGGAGATTTCTGTGATACAAACAAGGGCTCCAGCACAGCGGATGAGACGCCACCCCAAGCCAAATTCCGTACTGGAGCACCGACTGCACGTAGGCGTAGTACACCATCCTCCAGTGATCCACCGCCAACACCTGGCCCAGCTGAGCGAAAGCATAGACCAACCTTCTAAGCCTCTGTTTCACATACCAAACGTGTGGAACCCAGCTTAATTTCTGATCCATGATAACGCCTAAGTACTTATATTGTGACACCCGTTCGACAGTGTCACAGCAGCAGTCCCGTGACAGCGGATCACCACAAGAGTGTAGGTGTAGGAGTCTGGGGCAAGGATCGTTATCACTTTTTAAAAATATGGGAAGGCATTTTGTTTTTGTAACATTTAGTGACAAGGAGTTGTGATCCAACCAATTTTTGATTTCAACCAAATCAGTCGATGCTTGGTCATAGACCACGTCCCACGTACTGCCGGTAGTAGCCACTACTGTGCCGTCAGCAAAGAGGAATAGTTTGCTTCCAGTGTGCACTTTAGATATTTTATTTATGTAAATTAAGAACAACAAAGGTCCAGGATTACTACCCTGGTGTATACAAATTATGCATAACATAGATTTTTAATCAATAATTCAACCGTATTCTCAAGTTTTCGTGAATTTGGAACCTTTGGAGGGCTAAACGATTTGGTATTATTACAGTTTGATAATCCTACTAATGTATGTAAAGTATGGATGTTTGAATATAAATCTGAAGTTTAATCACGTGAAAACTACTGAACCGATTGAGCTGACATACTCACTAGGTACTTAGTCTTGAGAAATACATAGGCATGTTAAAGATATGAAAGTCCTGTAAAGCCATGTCCCACAGGGGTTTAAAGTTTCCATGTTATACTTATACCTAAGTATCTTTATTATTTAAATAATTTGTTGGATTTTTGTGTGCAGCAAATCGACCACTAAATATTTATTTTTATAGGTATATTAGGTATCAATTTAAAGCTCTTATCCTCTAGATGTGCCTTTTGTGGGTTTGGGTGATATCTCCTGAAAGCCCATAGTACTATAGGCTTTTGAGTGTGTGCTGAATTCTGTTCATCAACTGTTACGATTGTGCTACCTCTTGTGATGGTGTGGCTGATAAGATTGATAAACTTCAATTGTGAATTCTAATAATCATTTAATTTATATTTTTCAGATTGAAGTTAAAAAAGTGGAATCAGAAGTGAGTATGAAATTGTATACATTATAATAATTATAATTCTATACAAGGCTCCATCATAGCATTAAAAGTTTGTAAAAAAAAAAAAAAACTTGACACGATACCGGTACTTAAGATTTGCTTTTGTGAAACTAAATCCACGTCAATAAATTATTGAGTTATATCTTTATGGGTAAAGATTTTATGATTACCTCAACATACAGACAAACTTAGGTTTCCTTGACAGATTCTACCTTCGAAATAAACATTTTCCTCAATTTTCCCTATACATATTAAGTCTAAGGAACATTTTGTCTAATTTTAAAAAATTACTATTGATCCTTTTTTTTATTAAAAAAACCCTGTCACATTCCAATTATATACCTATTATCATCAAGACTGGTAGTTGTTATCACAGTTTGGTCATATCGTTATTAAGCATGAAAAAGCACAACAAAAGCAGTTAGTTTTAGTGGGCCAAGTTCAGGATATTCATACCTAAGGTTATCTAACTCCTTTAACTACAGTACAACAGAAGCAGTTAGTTTTGGTGGGCCAAGTCCAGGATGTAGTTACCTAGGTTATCAAACTCCTTTATATCAAATATTAATAATCTTAGTTGACTTAATAAAAGGGTATTTGTTTGTGTTTGAGTCTGTAAAATATATCATGAAATCCAATAGATAAGTAAGTTTGGTATGGTACTTGTAAGCCTGAAAACTTGATTGACAAAAGCCACTACCTCAGGAATACTCATATTTTGCTAGTTGACCCATTTGAAAATTTAAATTTGTTATGACCAACCGTTTGGGCTACCAAGTAGCCATATAGGTTTGACAGAATAGTGGTTTAAACTTAAACGAAATAATTTAAACATTTGTTATAAACGAGCCATTCCCAACATTACGAACTACAAAATACGGAACTATGGGAAAACATTCAGTAATGGCGGTTGAAAAAAGACTATAGATGGGTAATTTTAGCCCAAAGAAACCTCCAAGATATAACAAATTCTAACAAAAGGGTTTCCCAAAGGTTTTTGGTAGTAACAGGTGTAGTATGTGCCATAAAGATTTCTACCAAAATCGGACAACCGGAAGTCGGTTTTTCATGGCCGCCGCGAGGCTTTTAAATCTACCAGATGACTGCAATTTCGTCGATTTATAGTTTAGGAGTGATCAGTTTCCACGGAAATTAGTAAAAAAAATTTAAACTATACAGGTATTTCCAGCATTGAATATGAAAACCAGGCAGACAACGTAATCCAATGAGGGATTTTCGGGGTGCTATGTAATACAAAAATTAGGTTTTTCCCTCAAGTATAAGTTTTTCAAATATTTTGCACAAAGTTCATTTTAATTTCAAATTTATTTGTTCACCATTATATTCAGCAAGAAAAAACTAACAATTAATATGTTGGGTCTTTGTTCTGCGTCAATTTGTTTCGGAGATATTAAAAGTAATAACTAGAGTATGTTTTCTTTCCAAGATAAACTCAATGTTAATCTTATGGAGAATAAGCATAAATATCACTATTGATTTTCGGTAAACATATATGGACAAGACTTTCTTTATGCTTCATATTTTCAGTTTTAATATGTTTCTACTAAACATTCCTATTTTGCCAGTTGCCATGGCAGCAAACCTATTATTCGGTTCATCTATGTTAATCTTAAGGAGGATAAGCAAAAATCAATAGCTTATTATTGATTTCTTTTTTCAAATTTTTATATCAATTACAATTTAGTATTTTGATTTATTTTATTATTATTTTTGGTTTTTTTTTTGTAGTTGTTAAGAAAATGCAGTTGTTGTGTAAATTTGAGGTCCTCATGGCGGCCATCTTGGAAAACCCCATACTTCTGGTTGTCCGATTTTGGTACAATTCTTTTCTGGTACCAACTACACCTGTTACTACCAAAAACCGTTGAAAACCCTTTTTGTTAGAATTTGTTCTATCTTTGAGGTTTTTTAGGCTAAACCTACCCGTCTACAAAGGAATAGCATGACAATTTTTCAGAAATAAGCGTTGACTTATAGAGGGATTTGATGAAATTATCCCTATGGTTTGTGCAAACTTAAAATTATAAAAATATTTTAAGTGCAGGGGATTTTAATAGCTGTAACAATTCATTATTTTCACTGTTATTTATTATAGAAAAATTTAAATTTTCACCATATGTTTTTCATTTTATCTAAATGTCAATCCCTTTTCAAACCATGTATAATAATTGTCCATGCAAACCAATAGGTAATCAATGTAATACAATATAATATAGACAATTTTCATATAACCTAATTTCATGTAAATGTATAATAGCCTATAATTTTTGTAACAAAATTGCTTCAAATTCAATACAATTTTATTTAAATAACTTTTCAAAATTCAAATATAGCTCTATAGCAAATTAAAATTGTTATAGTATATGTGTGAACAGTGGCCTACAATTCTCTGTGATTAAGTCAGCATTGACATATGTGAGTGCAACAATGCATCAAACCTGCATTACTTTCAAGAGAGCTGAGCTAGTATGAAGATGTAAATTGGATACTACATATTTTAATATCAAAATCTATAAAAAAAGTGCCTATATTTGAACCTAAACTTTTGAAGTTCGATTAAAGAAGAACCATCCTTGTTAAGAACATTAATAATTATTACATCAAGAAATTTACCGTGAAGAAGACATCAGTTTTTGGTGAGGTCACTCCAGTAGACATTTTCTATCCTTGGAAGCCATTAAAACATTTTAGGCCTAACTTTTGAACATTTGTACCAGAATTTAAAAGTCAAGAAACACTAATCAAGCCATTAATTAAACCAATCTGAAAATAATTTGAACCTATTTTATATTTCAAAAACAAAATTTTTATTAGGCTATATAAAATCACAAGATTAAATTCAAATGCCACTCGATCACCCCACCTGAGATAAAGATCCATGAAATAAATTATAACACCTGAACCTTTAAAACTATTGTAATAGGCTTAGCCTAAAGCTTTCATTATTAAAATCATTCCCCACTCATTGTAAACTTTATTGTGAACCCCTTATTTTCTTTTACCATCAATTTTGTATTTTAATTAAATAAATTTAAGTTTCGATACTGTACATGGAGTTTCCATTGTATTCTTAACTTTAAGGTTGATTACATAGCAATAAATCATTCATTCAGCATAAAATCAATGATAGAGCAGATGCTTATTTTTTACAATTAACAGAACAATATCTTAAAATTTTCTTTCACAAAATATACACGATAAAAACTTAAGAGATATATTTAAAAAATAATACAATTTATAATATTTTATTTATTCATCCTGTTTGTAGAAAGTAAAAAGTGATTTACATGTTTCAATGACTACAGGTGAGAAAAAAAGCACACATAACAATGGTTCAAATATGTTTATCTCAATTTTTTTTTATTTTGACATTGCAGGGCTAATATTATTAGCCAAATTATTATTAATATTATTGCCACCTATTGAAAAAAGCCTAAATCAAAATTCATGGTTTGTAATAAAAAAAACGTTTTCATAACTATTAAACATATTATTCACTACCAATTAAGGATCGTTCCCTGGTACAGTAATACTTGCAAATAATTGCTTGGAACACACACAGTACTTCAAGATTCATTCATTTCTTTGGTTGAAGATTAGTTCAACATTTTTATGATTGTGTTTTAGTCTGACTATGTATCCAGGCGTACAGATAACGAAGGCAAAAAACTTGCTATTTTCTTCTTCAACAATGATAAAGACGCATTAAAAGGTGATGACGAAAAATTCAAGGTAAGTAATTGACTTATAGTTTTAAAAGTTTGGAATATTTGAGATATTTCTTTTATTTAAATTGAGTGTTAGATGGTCTTTCTACATTGGTACCTAAAAATTTTAATATCGGTTCAAACCTTCCAGGCTTTCTACGGATAATTTAAAGTTTGTGAAAAAATAAATAATGTCACTGCAGATTCAAAACATAATGGTTGTGATTATTTTATAGAGCCAATAATTTTTCAAGTTTTTATAGTTTATTATAATAGTGTGTGACGGAACTACAGTTTTGAATTATAGGTAAAGCATCTTTAGGCAAGTGAACTTATAAACTTTTAAAAGATATTTCACAACTAAAAGAACTTATAAATAATTTATAAATAAAAAACTTTTTTTAAAACAAACGGTTTTAAACGCACTAAAAAGTAGAAAATAATGAATAAATATGTAGAAAATATAAATACTTGTAAGATTTAAAACTAAAAACGTGGGGTGCATGCAATAGATAATTTACAATTAACTACACCTATTGAACTAATGTATTATTGTCAATTGCTTGCACGTTGCACTCTACGTTTTTCGTTTTAAATCTTACAAGTATTTATACTTTTCACATATTTATTCATTATTTTCTACTTTTTAGTGCGTTTAAAAACGTTTTGTTTTAACAAAGTTGTTTATTTATAAATTATTTTCTACTTTTTAATTTTCTTATGTGTTTGGATGTTAAATCTATTTCAAGCATCTATATCAGATTATGACAGAGGCATGTAAGAAATCTAAGGTTTTTTTTGTTTCTTTTCTTATAATTATGTATTAGATTGAATGTATGGCCTACCTACCAACAATAAATATATCAATTTATTTAATTTATTGTTTACTTTATAGAATAGTAAATAAATAACAATTTACATGATTAACAAACACCTTTATATCTGCAATCAGATTGTTTATCTTTATTTTGAAATGTTTGTTTGTATAAAGAATCTCTTGGGAGCATAACCTGTACCTCTTAACCTCTGCTCTTCGAAATGTCAAATTTAAGTATTTACAGCTGACTTAAACTAATTGATATATTTACATTCTTTCAAAATGTAAACATGGAAAATTTGGTAGCCCATGGGGCGTAGCCCAAGGGAAGTATGAAAATTAAATTATATAATATTGCATTGTCATCCATTTGTGAGCTATGTTTCAAATTTCAAGTCTCTAGCTCATCGGGAAGTATCAAAATTTGTGAGAAAGCGAGTTAACAAAAACAAGCTCATGGGGCGTAGCCCAAGGGAAATATGGAAATTAAATGATATTATATTGCATTGTCTTCCATTTGTGGGCTATGTTTCAAGTTTCAAGTCTCTAGCTCATCGAGAAGTTAGTATAAAATTGATTGCAAAATTTGTACCGGACAAGAAAGCGAGCTAATAAAAACGTTTTAATAAAAAATACTCACATTTCTCCAAACCAAAAACACATGTTTTGCCTTTCTACGGGTAATTTCAAATCTGTTGAAAATAAAATAAAAATACAAATCAAGCAATACAATCCTTGGATATTTTTTTTAGTTGACTGCATTGTTTGATTGCCAATCCTAAATGAGATTCACCCTACTTGTAAAGGGTCCTTTACAATTATTGGCTTACAGTATTGGTAGATATCTTGAAAGCCTAACAGTATAGCACCAATAATTTGCCACCTTTTTTATTTTTTGTTGATTATCATAGATTGTCACAGTTATGTGTTACTAGTATACATGTTGCTCCAATTCGAGCAATTGCAAAGTATTACAGGAGTTATTTGAAAACTAATAACACTCACTGTAATAACGTCAGTTATATTTGCCTGAGGAAATGCAGAGTTAAAAGGCCAATTGTTGTTCGGATGTTTTTTTTTTAATTGAATCATTAATGAAAGTTTTAGTAAAGGTTTATTGTATGTAGTCATATTCTTCTAAAATCACTTGGCTTTTATGAAAACATTTATTTAACGTACTTGGTGTACCAGTTCATTTAGCCTAAGGAGTTTCCTCTATATTATATCACAAAGTTTATCGATGTTTCCTACTAAAATTGGTAGCACTTCGGCTAACATCCTCGTTAATCTTTTATAAGAATATTCATCTTGTCTCATGCGTTTTTCATTATAAAGGCCAAGAACGAAACTGATTATTTAAAACATTATCCCCATTTCTTCTACTTGGTGGCGTTCTATGACTTTTCTACGTTTCAATAGTTTACATACCGGTTCTTTTAAGGATTGCTCAATATAACAGTACTGTGTCAATTATTTTATCTTATTTGGTGAAATCTATCTTATATACCTACTAAAAAACTTTTGCAAAACTTATTACAGCTAGCCTGACCTTACTACTGGGCTGAATTACACGCGGTTGGTACCAAATGAATGATATTTACCTGTAGATGTGCAGAGTCCCTTTATAAATTAAAATAAGCTCACAAATAAGCACGAAAAATGAATTTGAAATTTTGAAAAAAAAAATAACATGGGTCTTATGGGTTGCCATGGTGATGACGAAATAACAAAATATCAACATAAAATCAAAACAAATGGAAGACATTCCAGTCACATGTTTTATTTACAGTGTGGGGGGTGAAAATAGAGAAGTTTGCACAATACATACTTTTGGTAGATTTTTCGACCACGGGGCGTGCTCTCGTACTTATTTAATACGCAAGCAGGTTTTTTGTGACAATTACTCCTCCGAAACTACTGAACCGATTGACATTTTGTTGGTGTCATGGGAAAGAGCGTAACGTGAAGTTGTGCAGGAAACTTTCTTTTTATGGAAATAATTAGAGAGTGAGGTCCTGGGGCCCTTTAAAGTTTCGCATTTCTCCATAAGATTAATATGGGAAACAAACATTGTTATGAAACTCCAGCTGTTGTCAGAAATTAAAAGTCAGAAGAAAAACATATGTTATTTACAGGAAATGTTTATTACTGTATATCGAACTGTTATGTAAATCTTGAGTACTTCTATTAGTTACGTAATATTTAAACTGATTGGAAATTATGACTGTTATTCGTTTTGAAATAACTCTTGTACTTTGCGATTGCTTGAATTCGAGCAACACGTACACTACTAAATCCAATTGTCCAAGCTTTTTTATTTTTAGCGAATTTCCCATTTAGGGAATAAGCTATTACCGTAGTACTCATGGTAAGACCCGGACGCGGGACCGATTTTTTTTTTTTTTTTTTTTGAATTCCCTAGAGGCCAAAAACGCCATCCGTTCAAATTCATATATATATATATATATATATATTTATATATATATATATATATTTATATATATATATTTATATATATAAATATTTATATATATATATATTTATATATATATATTTATATATATATGTGTCCGTCAGCACAATAACTCGAGCAAAAATGATCCTATTTTGATGAAATTTGGTACAAACGTGTAAACGTACGTTTATTCGAACGAGTTCGCGATCCAGCATGATCGGACCATGGGAACGGGGGTTTACGGGGGGTTTTATGGGGTAAAAATAGGTTTTTCCCATTTTTGACCCAAAAAACATAAAATTTAGCAATTTTTTTCCAAACCATTTTGTAGAGCTTAAAAAAACAAATAATTTAGTATATTGAAGCGTTATTATGCGCCTAATGGTTACGGAGAAAATTCAAAAAAATTGTAAATTTAAAATTCCCATGTTATTCTTATGGAGAATAAGTAAACTGTTGTAGTTTGCTTGTTTGTGAACATATTTTGATCAAATTTGGAAAATGTTTTTATTTCTTACTAACTATTCACATTTTACAAAAAAAAACAGTTTTACCCTCCTTGATGCAGCAAACCTAAGTACTTGTTAAACTAATTCTATTTAAATCAAGAATAAATGTTATATTTTTAAGTAGACATTTCAGTGTAAATCCAATCAGTCAAATGGAAATTCGCTTAGTCTGCAGGTTTGCTGCGGCGGGGGTATTTTATTATAATATGTACGCTAAGCCAAATTCAAATAGTAAATATTTAGTTTCAACCAACTCAGTGTTTATACATGCTTTTCCTTAGAATTGCAAAAATAAATATTAACAGCAACTAAATTATCCAGCTGATCATGTTGTAAAGAAATATGTTCTTCATAAGAATAATATGGGAACCTTAAAAACCACTGTCGGTTTGCAAATCTACGTGACACATTCTTTCCAATGAGACGTAAATGGTCGAGATCGGTTAAGAAATGACGGTGGAGTTCAAAGGACAAATTTCGTGTTGACGTATTAATTATATTGATTTGTGTTGGATTCTTAAGGGCTCCAATGAACGTGTTAATGTCGTCAAAAATGCAAAGAAATATTACTCGTCACTTTTTCAGTATGTAGTGAAAGTCGCCGCGTCTACCATCCTAGGTTGCTAAGAATATCTTTGGCTGCCTAAGGGTTGGAAGGTTCATTTATTTCATATATATTATATTCCACATTAAACATGAATATTAGCTTTTTTTAATTTAAAACCGAAAGTCCAGACATTGTAGCGTACTTATCTAAGTAAAGCAATTTTATGATTTTTATAGGTTCTAGCTGCGAAGGAGTTCGCAAGAAATGAAGTTAGAAACGGTGTTTACTTAATTGTTCCCAATGATGTGCTTACTGAAAATTTTAGAAAAAAACACAACATACGATTTACGAATTATCTTTGGTTTGACTTGGAAGATAAGGTGAGTATGTATTTATTTATTTATTTGTATACGCCAAACACCATTTTACATTTCACATTGCAATTATATACAGATGGCCAAAAAAAGATGACGTAATAATACATGCGTGTGACCATTACAGCTATCTACTACCACAGTTAATTAACAAAACAAAGTTGAGAAAATAAATATATTATAAATATCACAGCAAGTGGCAATAAAGACTAGTTAACATGCAGGAACAATAATACAATAAATATTAACGAAGTAGAGACTAACAATAAGCAAACCCAAAATTATAAAACACTACAAATAAATACATATTATGGTAGCAAATTTACAGAAGAGAACAATGTGCAAAAGGTACGGTAAACTCTGAAGAAAATTAAAAAAACTCAACAATAAAGGTAACAACAAGATAGACCATAAATATGAAAAAGTAATGCACAGAAGTGAGGGGAGTCGACACTAGTAGAACCCCTCATATCCGGCCTTGGTTTTACCGGTCCTCTGTTTATCCGGCCCCTTCCAGGAAGCCAATAAGAAAATGTTTTTCTCGCATCTTACAGACATTTAGATGCAAGCACTAGTCTTTGCGTTTACTCAAGTCATAAAATGAATTGTTCTCACTATTTATCTGTTTGTTTATAATTTATTTACTGTGTCACTATACTCAGTTGAGCTAGTAGGCCTAACCTCTGAACAGTTGGTTGATTATTTTCCAAAGTGGGGTTAGAACAGTACAGTACCGTACCGGTACATTAATTTTTGTATCTCACTAAGTGGATAAGAAAGTTGAGTAACTTATAAATGCATGTACCATTTAAGTCCTAATGATCTTTAAGTCCAATTCATTGTCATTTTACCTCCATTATTGTTTAATATTTTGTGTAGGCCTACCTGGAATCATAGTATTTGTACTATCATTACTTAACGACTTTAGCTTACAAATAATTTTTTTTTAGTTATAAACATGTTTATTCTTCTAAAAATAATCCCAGAACAGATTTGAATGATACTTTTGACTGCATATATTGATTAGATAATATTATTAGATCAATGGTCATTTTCATAGTAGATTGGTTTATCCGGCCAAATCGTTATCCGGCCAGGGGCTTGGTCCCGTGGTGGCTGGATATGAGGGGTTCTACTTACCACACACCCTTGCACAGAAACATGCACTCACTGGCTCGGAAGTGAGGGGAGTCGACGGCCCCAACACTACACTCCTAACGAAATGCTAATAAAAAAAAAATCAAACATGCACATGCTCCTCTGACGAGTAGAAGTTGGTTAGCTCTTTCCTAAGACGATTCTCGGAGAACTGAATCAGGTCGATGTACTGGATCTAGTATTGGATTTAGTACACTGTAAATAGTACCATGTTAGAGCCTTCTAGAAAAATTAATTGGATCAACATTTAGTTTCATAAATTTAAATGCATATTTAGGCTGAACAAAGATGGTATGGCATATTCCTTAGTTGTACGTAGATTAAAACATGTAATTTCCGGTTAACAGCTATTTGTTATAAATCCTTCCCTTGCCGTTTAAGTAAATTTTTCTCCAAGAAAAGGTTTTATTACCCTGCATCTGGCATTACTTAATAAGCAAAAAAACTTCGTACATTCCAGCCTAATAGACAACACAAATACTGGTTACGTTCCATTCTATTAAGCGGAGCGAGCATTTCGTCATACGCAAACTCCTTCTAGACGGCTGAGCAATCATTTTCAAAGTTAATAAAGACCATATCAGTGAGTGCCATTACCTTTACGGTGCTAACAAATAAGTATAGTGTTATATTAGTGGTCTCAAAGTGTCATTGTGAACATCATGGAAGAATCAATTGACACCTAAGATCAGCTGCTGTTGACTTAAATGCAGTACTCTGGAAACAGCGGATGGAATTATCGTAACGGTTGATCACGGATAATAGAATAGAAACGGAATGATCCGTAAACATAAACAAATTACGTCACTGCCTCGAACCTTATACTCACCTTGGCTCGCTGGGGCCCCAGACCCTCGTTTAGGGGGGGTGGGGAGCCACCCTTCCCCCCTATTTCCTCATGTATGCTCATTCTCCAATAGAGTTAAGAGTTTTGTCCGAAATGCGTAAAAACAACCGTTTTTTGTTTATCCCCCATTTTAAATTTTGTTTAGTTTTAGATTTAAGTTAAACTATTACTGTCACGTAACTGGCTCAAATAATGATTGGAAATTGTTTTACAGTACAAAGTCGTCGATGTTACCGACAAAGTAAGTATACCCATCCCAACATAATGGACTTAATAACCTGCTTACTTTGTATATAATAAGTTTCTCAACTAATACAATAGTTTTAATAAAACCTGGCCAAGCAATAGTTTGCTCATGTAATAAACTATGTTTAATAACCTATAAGTATATGTATATATTTAATTTCTCAACAAGTAAACTATGTTTATTTATCTGACAAACTAAGTAAAAAATACAGGGTGAGGCAATGAAAGCGCCCCAATTAATTAATAGTACAAATTCAATACTATTTACCGTATACATATAAATAGCACATCAAAACACAGCTTGTTTTTAGCAGTTTTAACTCAACAAAGTCATTTTTCCATTTCTTGAAAACAAAATCCTTTGAGTGACGTCCTTACTTTACATTTCTTTTCAGTCACTTGAAAATGCCATTGAATACTCCTTCCAACATTTCTTCAGGAATCACTTTAGTTTTTTGGAAATTCAAGAAAATATCTAGGGTAACTTTAAAAGCCCTTAAATTTCAAAGAGTTTATAGGGAGAACCCCCAAAGAAAGCAAAGAGCCAACGTCAAGCTTTCAACAACGAAAACATTTTGGCAAACCTCTTTGGACTTTGAGTTACTGCGACTCACACTCTTTCAACATTTGCTGGTGTACAAAGAGTTTTGTGGCACCCACAGATTATTTTTATGGTTTAAGCTATTAGTCTAAATAATTTTATCCAGTTTCTTATTGATTTCCAATCTTGAACAGAGCCATAATTGACCAAGTATGGAATGTGGTCCAAACAATCTCTGGGTGTTTGAACAAGAATCACTATTTTAAAAGTAGGCTCCTCTCCTACATCAAAATCACAGTGTTGCAAGCCTCAGGCACAATGTTAAAATTGCATAGTTTGATTGATGTTGTAAGCACAGCTGTTTATTCATTGTTGCTTTACTTATAATGTGACAACGAAAGAAAATCGGGGTATCGGGGTGTTCTCACTGCCTCGCCATGTAGTTTTCTTAAAGAATAAAATATTTCTTTTACTTCCTAGGGAGTGAAAAACCTTATTAGCCCCTAGGGAGTAAGTCAGCCGTTGTAAACAGTTATTAACTGTAAGCTATAGCTGTCGTAGTCGTAAGCAATCACAAGTATCGAATTATTTATCGATTGATCAAATTGATTGTAGTTTAAAGCTATAATTGACTATTGGAAACTGATGAAGACCAAAAGGTCTACTTTAGTATCCAACATAGATCCATATCCATATAGATAAGAATACTATAATCTATATGGACCAACTGTCACCATTTTTATGAAAAAGAACATTGTTGTGTGAGCCAGTCAAATAATTCGCTAGTGCAAAGAATTTTATTTTCTACCTTATATTTTGTTGATGGCACATTTGATGGGCCTTAAGAGTTCCTAAAGCTCACACAAGGCATTTTACCATTTTACTTGGTAAAAATGTTCTTTAACTCGACAAACATGAGTAATTTAGATCAGCGCAATCTGTTGGTACATAACTTTGAAATTTTTCTAAAACATTTTGTAAGCGATTAGAAACTAATTATTTAGTATATTGGAGCATTTTTATACGCTTTGTGGTTAAGGGGACAATACAAAACCCTGTCGGCCTGAATTTATAATTACCATGTTATTATCATTGAGAATATGTGAACTGTTGTAGTTTGCTTGTATATAAACTTATTCTGATAAAAATATGAACATTGATTTTTATTTTATAAATTTCAAAAAGTCATGTTTTTGCATTCCTTGTTTTTACATCTATATCTGTATTTATATCTGTTGCTGTGTTGCAGCAACACTATTTACTCTTTAAACTTATGTTTTTGGTGAAAATCCTATCAGGCAAATGGACAATGACTCAGTCTGCAGGATTGCTGCGTCAAGGGCATTTTTATATTTGTTCATCGATAAGAAATATAATCATACAATTAAATTATAAACATATGCAATATAAGATAAATAAGATTTCCCCAATGAATGTCTTAGACTCCGCGTTATAACACTACGGCATACTACAGGGTTCGTAGTTAATACAATATTACGCAGACTGAACTGTATACATAGAACACTTCGATTGTATTAACCAAAGTTTTAATAACATGATTACTTGAGATTATTTTAGATATTTGGGGTTTTAGGCTTCATATGACGCAAGGCATAACGAGTACGAAGGCAGAAGTATTTACACTTTGTTTCACGACTACCAGCCGGACTGTGTGACAGAGAGCGGCAAGAACTGCCTTGAGTGGAGAAAAGAAGATACCATGGTGAGTAACCTATCCATAAAGAAGAGGTGGTGTCTGTCTGTTGTCTGTGTGTGTGTGTGTCTGTGTGTGTATGAGCTAAACTAAAAAACTACTGAACCCACTGGTCTCAAATTGGACACAAATAATGCTACAGCTCCGAGGATTCATATAGAACTATTCCCGCTTCGATTTTGACCTAGGACTCTTCCCCGTGGGATTTCAAAGTTCTGAGGCGAGAGTTTTAAAAGTAAATATTGGTTGGTCTTAATTATAACAAAGAACAAACCCACAAAGTTTAAATGTATACAAGCAGACCTGACAAATAAACTTTGATTTCACAATTTCCGCACAGCTTGTTCAAACATATTAAATAGGGTAAGGTTCATTTGTCCGAGTTTTCCGTTGTCCGAATTTGTTAAAAATTAAAAAATATTAGAAAAATCAGTCGTCTGAGTTTTCATTTGTCCGAGGTTTGATAAATAACTAGTAATATTTAAATAAATCAACTATCCGATTTTTAATTTGTCCGAGGTCTGTATAAATAATAATAATCTTTGGTTAAATTAACTGTCCAAGCATTCATTTGTCCGAGTCCGAGGTTTTAAATTATTAAAAAAAAATGTTGAATATCAACTGTCCGAGTTTTCAACTGTCCGAGTATATCGTCATCATCAAAAGTTCCTAGCGTCTCTGGATCCTGATCAAAAACCGATAAGAACCTCTTCTGCAAAGGAGTCGGGAATTGTGGGCTCACGTCAACTTAAGAAAAATTTTAAAATTAATTTTATAATTTTTAATTATACAGTTAAACTGTCATAACCTAACCTAACCAACCAAACTTGCTGATAATATAAAAAAGTGATAAGATAAAAATCGAATGAAGGTTTACTAATTAATAAAATAGTCCTGTTCATAAAAATAAAAATCCCCCACTCCTTCGCAGAAGAGGTTCTCATCGGTTTCTGACGAGGACCCTGTGACGCTGGTATTACTTTTGACACTGACTATACTCGCACAGTTGATTTCTCAACATTTTTAAAAATAATTTAAAACCTCGGACGAATGAAAACTCGGACAACTGATATTTTAATATAATTGAATAAACTCGGACAAATTAAAACTCGGGCAGTTGATTTATTTAAATATTATTATAGTTATTTATCAAACTTTAGACAAATTAAAACTCAGACAACTGAAAACTCAGACAAATGATGTGGGCGCGAATATCAAAACAGAAAGGGTATGGATCATAAACATAAAAAAATTATGTCACTCGCCCGAATGTAAACATTATTTAACATTACTGGAATGAAACTGTCAAACCATGATAATGTAATTAGTAAAATATTCTTTCAGTTACGTCATTTGGTTATGTTTATGATCTATACTGAGTATGTTCTAAAACTTGTGAAATGCTGTAATAATATTTTACAGGAAATAATCAATAAAAAAAAATGTAATCATGGGTATAGTAAATAATTAAGATTTTATAATCATTGCCATCTCAACCTAGGCTCTTATCCTGAGTTTATTGAGAATTCTTTTTAGATATATTTTTGTGTAAATAGTAATAAAAACCCCTGTCGCAGCAAACCTGCAGACTAAGCGAATTTCCATTTGCCTGATTATAATTTCACTAAAGTATGTTAGAAGATTACACTACTGGCAGGTTTAGAACTATTATGATATCTTTTCGTTTACATTCAAACCATTGAACATGTTATTTGATAATACATAAAATGTATAATTGATTTATATCGTAGGTAGCCTAAATAAGCGTTCCCAGTCTGGGTTAACAAAAACGTACTATTATCAAGTTAAGTAATACAGTCCAATTTCTTTATAAATTAAATGGTAAGTTTGAAACCATTTTTAAGGTATTTTCAAACCACCAACATTGTCTCTTTTGCATACTGACCCCGTTGCAAGGCACGGGTATAGCTGCTAGTTAATTTATAAATGCTTTGAATATTAAAAGTAGGTAAGTTATATGCACAACTAACATGTTGGAGCTCAAACTAATTACGGATTACGAAACGAAACGACTGATTGGTTCTTTGATATATATAGAAACACACTTAAAAAGCCTTTTAGAAAAGTTTAATCAAAAGTATAGCTTTGCACATTAAACCACAGCATATTTTTTGACACCTCAAATGTTAAAACTAATCATTCTTAAGGGAAGAGTCGAGTTCACAGCGGCCAAGGACGTTGTATAAATAAAAATATTGGTTATGACGTCAAAGTGTCGTTCGTTTGTATTCATCCAAACTACATAATAAACTAAATGTTGTTATAACATGTTATTTTATTTGATCGAAATTCCAATCTAGCAATGGAAACTCGCTTAGGCTGCAGGTTTGGTAAGGTGGGGTTATTTAGTTGTTGCAACAAATTAGTACATTTATCTAAAATATTACATTATCATGACTGAATGTTTTGCTATAAAGGTTAATTTACCATGGTATTAAAAACGGTTATTATGTGTTGACTAGCTTTGGATAAAAAACAAGTACAACACTATGTGTGTTCGGACCGTTCTGCTCGTAGTTCATGTGGATGTCGTTCGCCCTGATGCAATAGGGAAGCTCTGTCCAAAACTTGGACAGCCATTGGAGTACCCTGCATTGTACCACGAAAAAAACTCAAGGGTACGTTTGAAAAATCTAAAATATTATTTTGAAGTCGAAAATATTTACAATTAATATTGAGCTCACAATGAGTTTCTTTTCTTCCATAACAAGCTTTGACAGTAATTAATTACCAAATTATATAATGTTAAAACCCTACGACAAATTAAACAGAATATTATTGTAGATCAATATTATTTTGTGTTTGGGAAACAACTTAACTATACTCTGTTCACAGTATTTAGATGGTTTGAGGGGTTACCCAACCACTTGTTTTGTATTTAATGTATGTGCTTAATCAGCTGTTGAGCTATTGTTTTAAAGGTATGGGTCAAGTGGAGGGGATAGATTCCTTCCCCTGAAACCGCATAAATATTGTGAACTATAAATATAAATTAATAATTTACGTAAGTGATGTACCGGTATCTAATGAAGCGGCATATCATTATTGTTTTATTTGTTGGTACTCTCTCATATTCCTTGTTTTTTATTTACATGCTCAAATTAAGCTGTTGATTCCTAAATACCATTTTTTTAATTACAAATATATGTTTAATTCCAGACTAATGTTAAAGCGATGCACTTTTAACCCATTAGCTTATATGCTTTATGAGAAACAGACATGGTAAAAACGATCCATTATTTCTTAAATTTAAATTAAATACCGTATCCAATATTACGCAACAATGTTATGATTGTTTAAGTTAGATTAGGTTTACAATATAATACATAAAGGCTTACAAATAAGATTAGGTTTACAATATAATACATATAGGCTTACAAATAAGATTAGGTTTACAATATAATACATAAAGGCTTACAAATAAGATTAGGTTTACAATATAATACATAAAGGCTTACAAATAAGATTAGGTTTACAATATAATACATATAGGCTTACAAATAAGATTAGGTTTACAATATAATACATATAGGCTTACAAATAAGATTAGGTTTACAATATAATACATATAGGCTTACAAATAAGATTAGGTTAACACAATTTTCTATTTCTCAATGTGTCTATACATAGTTTATAATGTTATTTCCTCGTCAGGGGAAAGATGTCTCCTTGGTGAATATCAATAAAGATGTAGATGTGAAAGAATTATATTACATAATACAATGCACACAAGTGATTCAACCTATCTAAATAAAACGTATGGATATGGGTCATCCAAACATGTTCGACTTTGGTTTCGGCTAGTACACACCGGCCCGCTGGCTTTTACTAGCCGCTAGTTCTGGGTCAGACTAGGCTGCTTGCTGGCAATATTACCAGCGGCTAGTTAGTGCCCCTAGCGGCTGCTAAACAGCCAAGTGTGGCCGAGGCTTTAGGGCAATAACAATGACAATAGTCCCAAGCTACCAGCAAGCTGGTCACCACACCATAGATAGGTTATTGATCCTGTATACGTGTAGAATTTTTGCCTTAATTTTTACTCAATCAATTAATTTTTGCTGCACTTGGGTTTGCAAGCAAGCTTACTATGATCGTATTTGAAGGGAATACAATAACAATGTACTGGATGGATGATGAAAAATCTATACTATTCACTTAAATACATTTTTGTGGATTGACAATAACAAATTTATTTGCTACATTTCAGTTGATCGATATAACAGGAAAATTCAGTGGAAAATTCAATGGAAAAAATGCAGATTATAAGGCGAGGGATTCGTGCTTTGACAGAAATACTAGTATGAACTAAAAGCAAGAGTTACTAGCAAGAAAACTGCCAGTGTGTCAGAAATGAAATAAAGAATTTGATTTCCAAATTAGATTTATTTTACCTTATATTTCTAATAATTTACAATGATACCTACCGCATGAACACGTTTTCATGTTGTGAAATCGTGCTGATTCCACAAATAGGCCAAAAAACTGGGTTATACCATTCTGAGCTTTATGATGGAACAATTTGAGTTTAGCTTGTTCCCAAGCAGTATGGTTCGTAACTTTTTAGACTTTTGTCGTTGATTAAATGGTACTGCATACACAAACAAGCCTTTAACACACAAGGCATTACACTAATTTAATTTCGTTATTTAGTAATTTATTTAGGCCTTAGATTCTGATCTCAGAAAAAAATAATTATTTGAATGAACAGCGCTCACAACACGCTTGTTCTCATTTTCATAAGCATAGCGTTTAGTCGCATGTAAACTACCAGGTGTACAATGCAGTTGTCTGCTTGCAATATTGAGTGGAGCTGGCATATTAATCCAATATTTTTCTCAAGTCAATCCTATATCTGTTTCTCGTAAATGAGATATATACTTGCAGTACCCAATGTCAATGGTGTATTTGGTTCACATAAATGGAGTGCCTATTTGCAGTATCCAAAGTCAATGGTATGTCTTGTTCTCGTCAATGGAATAGATACTTACTGTCCCAACCAATGGTACCATTGGTTCAATTTAATGGAATTCCTATTTGCAGTACCTATTCAAAGTCTGCAAATGCACGGTCTGCTAATGGTACGTCTAGTTCACATACATTGAAAGTCTACTTGCAGTATCAAACTCAATGATAGGTCTATATTTGGTTCACATAAATGGAATTGGCTATTCGGCGTATCTAAAGTCAATAGTGCATCAGCCTAATTCCGGCAACCCTACATATTGGATATTTATTTTGTAGTAAATTATGCTCAATTATATTAATCCGATTGTTCTTCCCTTTTTCTCTGTACGGTATTTGTAATGATCTATTTTTGATGATTCGTTGACTAACATATGTTGTGACTCTAGTTTACCTTTTTATTCTCATCTTGCAAATAATGGCATGGCGACCAATTAACCCATAAGGCCCATGTTAAGTTTCTAAAAGCTTAAAGCTTTGTAGGGAAAATCCCTGTGGTCCGATTTGTACCATTTCAGAGTTATACTTTCTCATGGTTGGTTGCTATGACTGCGCTAAATTTCGTGCAGATCACTTCAGCCGTTCAGGAGGAGTATTTGTAAAACAAAAGCAGGAGTGTAGTATTAAGAGCTTCGCTCCGCTCCAAAATCCCACGTCACAGCGTCCTTTCACTTGTGACAAAAACCTAGTTTATATTTATATTTACCACTACTGAATTATTATCAAGAAACTGTATTATTTTATGGTAAGGAATGTGGTTTAAGGTAACACAGTAGTCAAAAATAAAAATAAAAAATATTTTTTTGTTATAATTAATTCTAGTTTTAAATTTTATACTGAATCCATAGATACCAAATATGTTATATAATAAAATTTATTTGTTAGATTTTTTGTCATTTATTATAAATTTTGCACAGCTGTTTCAGTGATCGCATGACAACGCCTAAGGCTTTATATGCAAAAATTAAAAAATAAAATATTTTTTTAATAATTAATTCTAGTTTTAAATTTTATCCTGAATCCATAGATACCAAATATGTTATATAATAAAATTTATTTGATAGATTTTTTGTCATTTACTCGTATTAGAAATCTTGCACAGCTGTTTCAGTGATCGCATGACAGCGACTAAGGCTTTATATGCGATTTACCAAAAATTTACTTTTTTCTTCGTCCGGTACATTTTTTTACACATTTATGAACCGATTTTAATGACATTTTTTACAGACCTTCTGTGTATATTAACAAATAATAATAGGAAGTGAAATTACAAAATAATTGATACAACCCGAGTTTTAATTATTTTTTTAATTAAAAAACGCGTAAAAATATTTATGTTTAAAAAAAAGCATAAAAAAATTATTTTTGACTTTAGAACAAAAGTGGTTCCTATTATCGTTGAGAAAGGTGTGTAAGACCATTGTCTAAAAAAGTTTTAGGTTGCTAGGATACTTTTTAAAGAAGTAAAGTGTACCTAAAAATGGTGAAATTAACATGAACGGGATAGGGACTACTGTGTTACCTTAAGGGATCGATAAGTTTATTTATATAATTAATACGCTACATAAAACTTTGTCGGTTGAACTCCTCCGCCATTTCTTAACCGATTTCATCCATTGACGTCTCATTGGAAAGAGCGTGTTGCGTAGATTTGCAAACTGGCCTTACATTTTTTTTTTTAAGTTCCTTGGGCTCTGCCCCAGTGGCTTTGAAAGTTCCCATGTTATCCTTATGAAGAACATAATTGTTTACATTTTGATCAGCTGTATAATTTGATTGCTGTTATTTATTTTTCATTTCAATGATACGCATTGAGTACATTTTTGTTTACTACTTGAGTTTGTGTAAACATAACCCCCAAGACGGATCGTGTTAGTATGGTTGTATCTTAAATTTGTGTATTTATCGTCGTTTTGTGTCGCTATGACGGATCGTGTTAGCACGATTGTAACTTAAATTTGTGTATTTATCGTCGTTTTGTGTAGCTATAATTTGTTTATTTGTTGTTTTTTCTTTTAAATGCTTCCAACGTGACGACAACGAAACATAAGACAGGATGCGTAATCGTGATAACGACCGCAGCTACAGAACAGTGACGCGTAGTCAGCACCTGACCCTGGACAATCTCAACTATTAGGTTACAAATGCGCCCTAACACTACCCCAAAACGACTTTTCGTTCTCAATTGGCCCTCTATCAATCTGTTGCCTGTGCAGCGAGGCATTTTGAGAAGGAGAAAACCGGCCGGAATGCTTTAGGGTTATCAATAACAAAGATAAATATGGTCTGAGTTACAAACCGGTAATCTTTAAGTTGACTCTTTTAAACTCATTAAATATGACTGTTATTCGTTTTGAAATAACTCCTGTAATACTTTGCAATTGCTCGAATTCGAGCAACATGTACACTATTTTAAATTATTTCTTAAAATACAATCAATAAATTGTGAAGCTAACATAACAACTCATGGCTACCACTCATATGGTTCAATAGATTATATCTATTGAAGTTACAGCGACTACGCTTGTCAAAACAGCGATTTACGCTTGTAGCTTTATCTAGGCTAGAAAGCGTTCTTCCACTTGTCTAGCTGGTTGTAGCTCAAGATGGACTGATTTCTGCACGAATACTAGAAAAAATACCGGTATGGATCATAAACATAAGCAAATGACGTTTTTGGCCCGAATCCTATACTAATTGCATTAACATATGGTTTAGACAGCTCCGTTTAAACAATGTTAAATAATGTTAACTTTCGGGCTAGAAACGTCATTTGTTTATGTTTATGATCATTCCTGGGCCTTTTCTAGTATACGTGGATTTCTGTTTCAAATGTATTATATACGAAAATTCGAATTGAATGTGAGTTCATAGTTTGCTTACGAGGTTAACAAGGGAATTTCAAAATCCTCTCTAATATAACGATTACATTTTATAGCACAAATAATTTTTTGAATCGAAATTATGTAATGCTTACGAATTAAATTACGTTCATTTAAATAACCATCCATACTTATAAACTTCAAATACCAATTACTCACTGATCCATGTAAATAAAAACTACCATAGGAATTCAGGAATTGGTATGGAGATTCTAATTAGGCTCTAGGTGTTCAAAAAGAAGTGTTTTCAAGAAATTCCATTAGGGCTATGCCTCAGTGGTCTCTAAAGGTCAAATATTATCCTTATGGAGAAAATATTTGTTTACATATGAGCAGATGAATATTTTTTTTTTAATTTTATACTATTATTCTTATTTTAATATTAATAATTTTATTAATTTAATACTATAGGAACAGGTAGTTGTATTTTATTATATAAAAAAAATATTTGCATTATTTTGTGGCTTAAAAATTGGTATTTTACTGCATAACACTTTTTGTTATTGTTTAATGAATGAAAAAATCTAGACATGCACAACATGGTTGTTTTTTGTTCTATATATCCATCCATCCATATATATAATACGTGAAGGCGATTTCTACGAAACACTACTCCTCCGTTAATAATGGATAGATTTTTACAAACGACGTGTCAAAATAAAGTATTTTTTGTGTAGAGGCCCCCTTTCACCAATTCCTGCAATAAAAATCCTCGAGCTTTGCCCCACAGGCCATCAAAGTTGGAGTTTCTCACATAAGTTTAACATTGGAGAATCTAAATATTTAATTGGAAACTTTGTCCCCACTAATTTGAGAGAACGGCTTGGCGTAGAAACTTGGTAGAGGTGCCCAAAGAAAGGTCTTGGTCTGTAGATGAATTATCAAAAGAAAAACTAAGCAAAATTCCTTAGGACTCTGCACCAGAAGCCTTTAAAGATCCCTCCACAGAGTTGTTTACATTTTGGCCATGTGAATAATACTTTTCAATGAAACAGCTAATCATTTTTAAATTGTACTAGCTGTGTACCCGTTCTACGCACGGGGATCTTATAATATTCAGTTGAAACCTTCTTATATAACGAACAGCAGTTGGTTTGCATATTTTAAGATATGCTGGCCAAACTATTATACATAGCTTCATTTTATGTTGTTTTTTGTTGTTCCGGATCGGTATGACAATCAATAAAAGGTTAAATTACCTCTGTGTCTGCCGGTCGATCCTATAACGGTAGGCTTACTTTTATTTTTACTATCTGATCTCGTTTGCATGGCTCAATCACGTCCTGGTTGAAGTTCGTTCGCTACGCTCACTCACCTGTATGTTGGAGCTCGTTCGCTGCGCTCACTTTCCTTCAGGTTAGCTCGTTCGCTACGCTCACTTGCCTTCAGGTTAGCTCGTTCGCTACGCTCACTCGCCTCCAGGTTGCAAATTAGCTGTTGTCATAAATGTAAAAGAAATAATAGTGCTAGTGCTGCACCCTGTTGGTAATCCTTGTAACTTTAATGCTATTGAACATCACAGAACAGAACCA